GGGGGGAGTTAAGCCAGGTGCTCCTAGACCAGAAAGCTAACCAAATCAAAAAGCAGACAAGGCTAGCACACTCAGGAGACAGAGCACCCAGGGGCAGTTTCTCCTCACAGTGTGGCGTTCGTGGAGCTGTAGGTTGAAAGGGAAATGTCAGAGGATTAATAGTTTCATCGAGGTCTACAATTTAAAGCCTTGGGCTGATCAGCCCCCAAAAGCAATCTCTGCAGTCCTTCAAAGCTGTGGTCTCCCAGACACTCACAAGCCCTGGACTGCAGGGAGACAGTAGCTGTTGGAGAAAGCCAGGCCTCGAGGGACCAGGGTCTCAGGTGAAAAGTGCTGATGCCATCCGGGAGGCACAGAAGCAAACGCCCCGAATCTCCCGACTCTTCCCTTACCTTTGGGAGGTTGGCCAGCCGGGTACAGTGCTGCAGCCCCTCCCATGGGTTTTGCTCACCAGTCCCACTACAGGACCAACCACCATTCCGGCACTGGCTACTGCCTTCTGAGCAGGAGGGCAGAGGCTGAAAAATAAAGTGCCCTTCCTGTGGGAGTCCCGCCACGTGCCTGGGCAGGGCACGCCGCCGCCATGCTCTGGGGCCGTGTGCTGACCGGAGTGCACACTCACACCTGCCCCGCTTCCCAGCTCCCTCAAGATGTTCCCTCTCTCACAGGCCACGCATTTTAAATCATACCCCATGCCACACCAGATGCCCTGGTGTCATCTCCACAGGGCACAGTGACAGAGGAGGTGCCTAACAAAATTTGTCTTCATTAAAAAGTTTCAAGATTCAGTTCTCAGAAGCTGCCTGTTGCTGCGGAGTCAATGCCTGGATACGGCGGTGGGCGGGCAGCTCTGGAGTTAGTGCCCGCACACCATCCTTGGCTCCCGTCTCCGCCCGTGATCTTTCTTCCGTTTGCCTGGGTCACTTTCCCACGGTCCATTTTTACATTGATTTTGGGTCTAACCTTTAAAGTATTTCCAATGTGTCACAAGGCACCTCCCTAGGGGCGTGTCTTACCCCGGGAGGTCTGTGTTGGGATGTTAAAACCTTTTGTTTATGTGCAGGGTTCCAGTCGTAAGCCCTGTAAGATCTGCCGTTGGGGCGAATGAGGCCTCTGAAGGAGAAACAGGTAACCGGGACCTGCTCTCTCAGCCCTACTTACCTGTAGAAGTTTCTGGCCCAACAACGTGGCTCTGGTCAAGGGTAAATGGTATTGTTTCTAGAATGTAATGAGAACAGTGCACTTTATTGGCTTCCTCTCTGCCCTGTCAGCAACAAGACCCAATGATTGCTAACAAGCAAAACCGAACCCAGACTGATAAAGCGGAGATGTGTCAGTATGATGTGACAGGAACCACTATGTTCTTTTGAGAGTCTAACTTTCCTAAAAGCCATGGATGAAACCTCCCCTCCTGTTCACAGTGACTTACATAATATATTTAATACATTTCAAATACCAAGGACAGGGTGATCATGTCTAAAAATGTTAATGATCTTAGAAATCACTTGTTGGCTGCATCACCTCTACAACTAATAAGGCAGTACTGCAGCTTACAGTCCCACTGCCTTATGCAATAATGCTTCAAAATTGGGATTTGGTGTCAAATAAGCATCTTCAATTTAGACCCGGAGGCACCAGACCACAGATGGAAGCTGGAGTAGAACTAGAAGACGCAACTCGTTTTCAATGACACTTTCTGTCCCCTGGGTCCTCCTTCCTCTGGATCAGGGCGGACAGACTGGAAAGCACATCTATTTGCTTCAAACAGGCTTCCGATAGCCAACACACCATCCCCGTTGAAGCAAGATCTCCAGGTAGAGGCGACCCACAGATGCTAGAAAGAGAATCTTCCAATGCGCAGCTCTTGATGGTTCGGGAACCCAAGAAGAGACTGGCTGCGGCAGCAAGCCCTTGACTCTGGGCCAAGTCTCCCTGGGTGCTCTGAGGCCCTCTCCCACGAAGTGTGTGATCAGTGCCACGGCGGCCCAATTCTCCCACCATCTCAGAGATAACATCTTAGCTCCAAACTCGCATCATCATGAAAACAAAACGCTGCAGTCTACGTGAGATAATTTTTGCTCGGATTAAAATTTTTATTGAAATCTCTCAAATGTTACCAAGAAATAATTTTTTGCAAAACGGGGAAAAGTAGCTAACAAGCAAATTCAACATGGGAGCTCCCTCTGCTGGTCTGCAGTAGGTTGGTATGTTACAAACACATTCCCAGAGACAAATCTAATTTGCTGGAGAAGTGGACAAAAGACAGGTGTGTTGGGCTTTGCCTCAGGAGAGAAACACTAGAAGAAAAAAAAAATCCAAGTCTCAAAACAGAGCACAACATTGCTAAGAAAAACAAAATAATATAAAAGCTTCTCCAAAGACATACAAGTAAGATCTCCAAACAAAACCAGAATCATCCACTAAGGGCATTGCTCCATTTGGTCTTCCCCACTGCTCTACCTCCAGTTAATAAAAATTCTCTCAGACCCTTTGGGTGAAGGTTAAGTTCTGATTCCCTTGTCTTTGCCTCCAAGTCTCTTCTTACAGGCTTCTCATCTACTGAGAGAAGAAAGATCCAAGGAGTCACTGGAGTGAGGCCTTTCCAAAATTGCATCAAAGAGTTAAGCTTTTGGTGAGCCAGCACTGAGGCGTGGAAAGAGCAAGGCCTGGGAGTCAGGTGACCCGGCTCCAGTCATGGCAGAGCCATTCGCAACTCTGGAGAACTCTCTCCATCTTCTCCAGTCGGTTTCCTCAACAGTAAAAGGGGCCGGACCTGCTCATTGGTAAAGCCCCTACCAGTTCATTCCATGATTCTCATATTGGACAAAGAAATTTAAATAACCACATCTGTTCACGAGCCTTTAGGATACAGAACCCAAGCGTCACTGGGAATGACTCCAAACAAGTTGTGGGGTTGAGCGCAAGGATCTCACTGGTATCAGATGAGAGTTCCACCAACTCTAGGACCGATGTGGCAGAGCCAAGTGGATTCCAGGTTGGGAAAATCTTGAGATCGAGGAAGAACTCACAGGGGAGGGTGCCACCATGGGCAACACATCCCATTTAGTCAAATGGTCGAGTCACTGAATCTTAGCACTGTCTCTCCCTAACCTTTGTCACAACGGCATGGGCTTTCTAACCTCTTAAGACTCTTTAGTTCCTTCTCCCACAACCCCAGATATACTTTGGATCTCATCCGTTACATAAAGGGCAAGTTACCCAGATGTTAGGGCCCCAAAACTACCATTCCCAGTCCTTTCTGGCTGATGTCAATTCTTGCCTTTCCAAGGTAACGGTGAAAGGCTTTGTTGCTGATTAACCAAAGGCATCAATATTCAGATGACTCTACAAACTTGGCACCATTTCATAGTATTAACATTTGCCTCAACTGTCCATCTGTATTTAAGCACTCTAGCAAGAGGAACGAAGACTTATCCATGGATGACGGGGGCGGGCCCACAAACAGAAGGGCTTCTTTGAGTTGCTCCCAGTCATCGACAAAGTTATCCCTGAGGCCACTACGAACATTTCGAGGACTCAGCAGAAGATACGTCCACTGGCTTAAGTTTTATCCGTTCTCGCTCCCCTGCTACCTGCCAGGAGACCAAGCACTGACACAGACAAAGGTGGAAGCAATGGCAGGAAGGGAAGAGAAGGGAAGGGGAAGCAGAGAGCACAGCTGATCTGGATGGAACCTGGGTCATCAGTCTTCGGACTGCTGCTACCACAAGTGACGCTCTGTGCCCGGTGCTCTCACCACCACCATCTGCTTTTCCCTCACTACTGGTACTGCTTTCTACCTCCCCTTCCCACACCGAGGGTCACCACAGCGGGTGGTGCCTGGGTCCTCTCTCCGCAGTCTGCTTGTACGGGCCTGGGCAGCTGGGTCGTCAGCAAGTGCACAGAGCACTGGTAACCCTGCTCGAAGAGAATGGGAGCATAGCCAGCCACCAACACTCCTGAGCCCGTGGCCTGTGAGGATGTCAGCTGGGGCACCGCCCGTGCGTGTTTCATACAACACGGTGAATTCTGTACAACGCGAAAGAGCTGTAAGTCAGAAGGAAGAGTATTCTGGGAAGCTGTGTATTTCATCCAGCCTTGTAAATAAACACAAAACAAAAAAACCCCACCTGTCTGTCTAGGCCAAAGCTTTTCAGAAACCAGGCTTTCCTGCTTTTAGAAAGAGTTCCACGTGCGCTAAGACAAATGAAATCTATATTCTCTCTTGCTGTTGATCGTCACTCTGAACCCGAACATTCATTACTATTACTTGTACTAGAAGCAAAACTAAGGGCAACATTTTTTTTCCAGGGGAAGAGGAAGGTTGGTATGTAGATAGTAATCTTTGTGAAGAAACAAGGGAGTTTATAAAACTCAGGCTACTCTTCACTGAGAAGGAGTGGGTCAGATCAGGAACCTTTACCTTGACTTGTAATTACATTCTCAAAACTACACTGGTACCTCCTTTTATACAGGGTTTCCTAAAAGTGGAAAGAGGAACCCTTAATCTTTCCTGTAACACATGTAAGACAGCACGCGGTCTTCCTGGAAGCTCCCAACTCTCCCCTTTGGTCACTAGACCTGAGGGAACACGACAGTAGAGATCTCTCAATACACAGGTTCACACACAGACACGTAAGTCCTGCGACAAGTGGACACCTCCCTCTGCAGCCCTTCCGCACAACCAGGCACACACGACTATGGTCTGGTGACGCCCTCTAGCTGGCTGGGCCCAGTCTCTTGTGTGTGATAGGAGGGTGAGATCATTAAGGAAGAGAGAGGTGTCATTTGGGGCAAACATCAGGCAGTGGGTGATATCATTGCTGTCAGATGATCCCCAAGTCCTGGAGTGTCAGCTTGATTGAGAGGGAATCATTAATCTCCTGCAGGTGGGTCTGTTAGCTTGGATAGGTGTTAGTTGTACGGTGTGCTCTGGGGAACCGGGTTTGAAAGGACCAGTGGTGGAGTGAGTGAAGTCGTGGCCGATGGGTATAAATTACCTGGGCATGCAGTGAAGCGGGATAGGTGAAAGCAGGAGGAGGTAGAGCAGGCGCTAACTCCGCTGGGTACAGAGGGTACGGGGCCCACACTTCAGGGCTACTGGGGTAAAGTGCAGGCACTGTGAGCTCATCTGCAAGAAAAGAATAAGGGAAGAGTTAGTGGTTACCAAACAGCTGCTTTCAAATCAGAAACAAAACACCAAATAACCCCGAGCCCCAATCGATGTCAGGAGTCAAATTACTCTCATTCCTTTAATAACCTGCTGGTTTTGGTCCCCAAACTCTAAGCAAGGGAATGGTAAATACAAAGTGAAAAAAGGCAACAGGCATCTGCTGCCTGTCTGGCCTGCTGAGATGTCGGGCCTGGGCTCTGCCCCGGACACTCTGATGTCTTTCCAACTGGAGCTGGGGGAACACAAGAACAGTGGGGATTTCCTGCACAAAACCGCACACGTGGCCCTCCGAGGAAAAGAGGAAGAAAGACAACTGGTAGGAGATATCCCATGAAAACCCACTGCAGAGTCTCTGAGAGAATAATGGCTTACTGGCAGGACCCAAACAGACCTGAACTGTAGGACTTCTCTGCTTAGAAGTGTAATTACTACTAACCGGTAAGTCATGATCACCAAGCATTACCCATTTAACACTCGGAAGCACAGAGCCAGACGCTGTGCCTACAAGACATTTAAAATGTTAAAAATTCAGAGAATAGAAGTGAAAAAGGCTGGAGTATCCTGATTAAAGTTAAGCTCCACAAAGATGCAAATTAGAACATTCACAGTCACTGCTTACACAAACTATATTTTCTAGGAAAAAAAAGTGAGTCATGTTGCCAACTGACTGGTCTCAATCTGATTCCATTCAGGTCAAGCCGCAGTTTGCCAGATTGAAGGGCAAGTGCCCGGGGCTCAGAATGTATCAGGAAGCAATCCATTAAAGTAACAGCAAACACATGAGGGAGCGTCTCAGCAAAGGCAAAAATAACATCAGTCAATAGTTATGAATCTGGACTCTGTAAAGCAGCAATCTCAGTATGTGCTTTTATCACCTGTCAAAATCTGAAATCAAGTAGGCCAAGGATGCTACCCAGGACTGCTGAAGCAGTCAGGAAAAGGTGACTTAGAAAGCCATTAGAGACTCTGCCATTCAGGACTTTCCAGAAGTCTAGAGTGCACGTGACCCAAGGTCAATCAAGTCATTTCACTCTTTCCCACATGGAAGAAGTCACCCTAGGCCTGCTTATTCCAGGTCTCACTCATTCTCACCATCTGCCAAAACTCTGGCTCTGGGCAGGGTTTTTAGTGTGGGAAGGGGGCTGGAAACAGAACTTCCCTGAATGTGATGTGGGAACTGCTGTACGGAGCAACCGGAAGGCAGCAGAGCCTGCAGGTGCATGTGAACCTGGGGAGTTTTTCCACAGCTGGCCAGCATGGCAAGAACTTCTGAAAAGATGGAGATTCCAGAGCTTACTAGGGACTATCCATTCAGAAGGCAGCCTGTGGATCTCGACAATGTGGAGTGCTGTAACCATGGCTGGCCGGACTCCCTGAATCCCTTTCTCAACAAGGCAGTTAAAAAAAAAAAAAAAAATGTCCTCCTCAGGACTTAGTGATGGGGATACAGACTGTTTGCATATCCAGGCTGGAAAGCCTAGCTCAAAGAGTAGACTGATATTATTTGAAGGGGATAACAGTAGCATCATAAGCCTCTTTAAAATGATCAGGTCTACACCACCTATTTCCAATTCTAGGGTATGTAGGTGTCTGAAGCTTCTGTAAGAAAATTCCTAACAGAGGGATTGGGAGAATGCTTAACAGACCTCTGTGTTTCCGGTCATGATGAGACCATATGATTTCCATTAGAGCAACTCTTGTGGGAGCCCCGCTTGTGGAAACTGTTGCCAGAACCCATGCCTCGGATTTCAAACAAACAACCATTCTCAGGAATGGCAAGCTATTATTGTTGTTGTTGTTGTTACTGTTATTTCAGCTACCATGCTATTTTAAGACATTCTGAGCCTTTAAAAAAAGAAAGAAAGAAAAAAAAAAAAGTCAAGAAAGTCTCAGGACCCAGCACACTAATGTCTTAGCCCATGCTTGCTCAGTCCTACTGTGACAGCAGGAGACTCTAAATGCCAGCAGAGAGGACTACGCAGGGCCTGCAGCCTGATGGCAGCCCTTCCTCATCCTGTTGCCTAATAGGAACTGGCCAAGTTGGGGGTGAAAGTTTTAAAAATGAAAGGTCTTTTATGATATCTGATCCTAGAAATGGGGCATAAATTCAAGCACTCCCACGGAATTAAATAAAACTTTTTTGGCAAAAGCTATCTGATCCTAGAGAGAGAGATAGTGGAGATAAGGGGAGTCAGGGTTTCAATCTCAGCCTTGACAGATGGGATTTATGATTTCCAGACATTTCTACATTTTTATCCTACAGCATTACTTCCCACTGGGTCTAGACTGATGCTTGCAGACTATTCACTGACCTGCATCTGCACTAAACCTAGCCCAGAATGGGACATTTGGAAACAAAGTCCCCAACCCAAAGCTGCTGACAGTACAAGTCAGGTAGTGGAGTGATGGCCTAAGAGAGACTGGAGCGAACTCACACTGGATAAATCCCATCACACATCTCACCACCCTTCCCTTCTCCCCTTGCGACGCAACCTGGAGTTACCATAAATGTCAAGAGATGTGCAGCAGAGTGGGCTGGTCGGGAGGAAGATGAGCTCAAAATGTGCCAGTGGAAACGCTCTGAGCTGGAGGGCACTGGGGAGAGGAGGAGTCCTCAAAACCAAGTGCCCACCGGTTGGCCAGTGAGAGCTCAGGAAGGCAGGATCCAGCCTGCACCCCTGGCGCCAGCTCTGAGACTAGCACTTAGTGTGTAATAATGCTTGGTAGACTTAATGGGGCCTGGTGGAAAACTTTAAAAGCTGCTTAAAGATACACCACTGTTTTCTTTATTAAAGGAAAACTTAGGAAATATCCATAGGAACTAGATCTAAAATTTCCCAATCCTTCCAGTATTTGCCACACTAAAACAAAAACCATGAGCAAAAAGGAGGCTTGAACTGGAACACATGTTACAGAACAGTAATTTTCAAAGTTCAAAATAAAAGCAGTTGGAACCCTTTCTTCAAACTAACTTTCCCCAGAATCCCTTTTTAAATTAAGTGTAGTGAATTTTTGTTGCCTTGGTGGTGGGGTAGCTGGAGGACTTCAACCCCCATGTCTGTCTCCCAGGTACACCAGGGTTCCAGAGAACACTGAAAACTGCTGTTATAGCTGTGCTCACCCATGGAACGGTTTTTAATGTAAGTTCCTCTTGGGGCACCTGGGTCACTTAGTCAGTTAATCATCCAACTTCGGCTCAGGGCATGATCTCTCGATTCGTGAGTTCGAGCCCCACATTGAGCTCTGTGTTGACAGCTCGGAGCCTGGAGCCTGCTTTGGATTCTGTGTCTCCCTCTCTCTCTGCCCCCTTCCCTGCTCACACTCTGTCTCTTGCATTCTCTCAAAAATAAACATTTAAAAAAAAAGAAAAAGTAAGCTCCTCTTCCAAGTCTGAAGACTGAACTCATTCCTGCAGCTCCTGAAAAAAACCCACCGGAGGGAGGGAGGGCCATGAGCAGCCGGAGCAGGGGAAGAAACAAAGAACACTGGGATGACTTTGGGAATGACTGGGACAGAACCAAACAGGCTCTCCTAACACAGACTTCGGTGCCTGAAGTACTTTGGAATGCTGAGGGAGTCCTCAAGTGAGCGTTTAGGGCCTCACAAAGCGCAGAAAAATCTGACCCAGGAAGTACAGGCGAAATGAAAGGAAGAAAGGTGAATAAGCCAAGTCAAACTATTTACTCCTTCCTCCGCGCTCCCAAACTTTATCTTCATAGCTGCACTACGGCACCCACAGTGCACCCAGTCCTGTGAGTCAGTACTTCTCAAAGTATGGTGGCCACACCAGCGGCATCACCTGGGAGCTTGGCAGAAATGCAAATTCTTAGCTCCAGTACAGACCTACTGAATCAGAATTCTGCCCCCCCAGGTGAATCTGATGGATGCCTAAATTTGAGAACCACTGATACAAGTTGCCTTCTTGCCTTTCTTAATGGATCAAGATGCTTGAACCAAGTGTTATGCATGTTGCTCTCAAAGAGCTTAGCACAGTACCTGCTACACAGCAATTTGTTTAATGAATGAAATACTTCGAGAGAGAAAATGCAAATGAGAGCAATGATTGTGGACTTGTTCTGTGAGAGAAACTGGAGGGTCAAAGCAGATCCAGCCTGACAGCACCTGCTTGGCTCAGAGCCACTAGTGACAGAGCAATATAGGCACGGTGGGGACAGCTGGACCAGGCTACGGTCACACCTGTGGCAAAGCAAGCCCTCACAGACACGTACATTTCACTAGGATGCTGGGGAATCTCTGAAAACCCACATAGTCTCTCTTGGCAGAAGAGGGTAGTAAGCTGAATTTGTATATTCTTTTTGGTTGCTAATGTGTGGTCTTGAGAAAATTAAAACAACTGAATAGACAGGTTTTCCATAGCACAAGCCCTTCACACACACGATGAACCAACAAAGGTGCGGGCAGCAGCAGGGGAGCAGATGGGCTGGCTCTAGTGGGTTTCACCTTCCTGAGTCACTGCTGATCCTGCTCAACTTAATAGGATGGGAAGGCTGAAAAAAAGAGAAAGTTTGCTGCCCTGAGCCCATTAGGATGACCACAGTTTGGCGGGGGTGGGGGTGGGGGTGGGGGTGGGGGGGTAGTAGAGAGACTCCCCTTGACTACATAGGCTCTTGACCCCCCAGTGAGGGGAGGGATCAGGCGGCCAGGGCTTTGTGTCTGGGCCTAATCCGACCCTCTGCTGAGAGGGTGATGGGTCAGTCCTCTCCCATTACTCCAGATCCAGCAACATCCTTTCTCCTTTCGCACCTCTGAAGGATACAGTTGTTGAGGGCTCACAATATACATCTGAATAAGCCTTTTTTTTAGCATAAGAATATACAACCGGAAAAGCTCAAATTGTATTCTGGCAAACAAGGACTAGAAACTTCCCCAACTCCATCTTCCAATCCCTTTGAAAAGAAAAAAAGAGCAGTGTCTGACAGAGGTTTAAACAAAAACAG